AGTGTATATTTAATCTAAGTTTTTCTTTTTTTTTTTTGGGGGTGGGGGGGGGTGTTTTACCCTATTTTTTATAAAAAAAATCTACTTGGCTGGTTAGTCAGGTTAATTACTCCGGTTAGTCCGATTCCGATTCAAATCGCTCCCAGCCTCACGACCGGTTAACCGTTCCGGTTCGATTTTACGAACACTACTCCAAACCATCCAATTTAACATCTAATTGTTAAGAGTGATTGTGACCTCCTTCTAATAATGGTAAGTGCTTTCATAGCATACAATGCCATATGCGCCTACTAGTTTACAGCTATAGTAAACGCTTAACAGTCCAGATTGAATCATGCCCGATTTGACAACTACGATTATATTTTGTATTTAAATTTTAATACTTTTTCTATAAATCCAAATGATATAAAATTTGGAACGTCCACTCTTATTGTTAAGGTGAACCAATAAAAATTTTGAAAAAATAATTCACAAAAAAATAAATAGAACAAAATACCCCTAAAACTTTTAATGGTATTTTGGTTTATTTATATTTTTGAATTATTTTGAATATTTTTATTATTACACGTATTTTTAGTTTAGATTTTGTTTTCCTTTTTCAGTTTAGAATTTAAGTTGTAATATTTAATTTAACAAAATATTAGAGAATAATTATCTTTAATATATTTTAATAAAATTACTTTCCTATAGCAAAAAATCTCTTCCTTAAAACATAATTAGTTTTCTTTAGATATGCAAGTTAATTAAGGGTGAGTAAGTTATATTTATTTTTTCTTTTTCCACGATTTATTATTATTTAATTTATTTATAATCTTATTAGGCCTAATTGGTTGCAAATTTGGTTTTTTTTTTTTAGTTTAGCTTTAGTGATTTTGAGAGAGATTTAGCCATCTGTTGATGCTTATAGTGAAGAGATCGTAAAATTCTGAATTGTAAACCATAATTTGGTTGGATCCTGATCCTTTTCATTGTTCATTGTTCATTGTTCAAGTGAATTTAATTTGCACCCAAACCAAAGAGGGTGGTTTCCGTATTTGTCTACTTGAATTTAAGTATAATAATAGCCAATGGATACTTGAGGGTTTACACTAGGTGGGTCCTAGGAGGATTTGAATCAACAGAATTCCAAGAGGGATTAGGCCGATGCCCGGATTTGAAGAGTTGGATAGGGCTCCTAGGGGCTAGAGGGGCATGGTAGAAAGAAAGTGGCATAAATTTGTAAGGTGTTCATGGCATTATTATTAAGATTGGACCAACCATTGAGTCAATGAGGGATTTGGTCCAATCAAAATCGGTCAAATACTGATCAAACTAGTTGGATTGAATTTTAGAGAAAAAAAAAAAAAATATATATATATATATATATATATATATATTAGTTTACATTAAAATTTTGTCGAATTTATTTAGCAGGTTGAATTAGTTAAAATTGACTGGTCTGACCGTACCAAACCAATCAAATATTGATTTTATACCAGATCGGCCAAGCCACAGTCTATAGTCCATCTGGTTGGACCGCAAGTTTGGTCCGATCTTGATAACTATCCTCCAAAGGTCCAAAAGTCCTTTTGGGTTTAAGCAACACTAGGTAGTTATAGACAAAGAATGGACTAAATGGCCATTTGAAAATGGTTGGGCTCATTTAGGCACATCCAATTGGGGTAATTAAAATCAATGGTTTTTTCATTTATTCCATTTGATATCTCTTAGAGACTGAATGGGTATTTTTAAATGTTTAAAACTCTATCTCTCTACTCTTGAAATCTATCCCTTGATATTTAAAATTGAGGGTGAGCACTTATTGGAGATTCGAATAGCTGAAACCTCAATTTAACCGATCATCGAATATCACACACTCAACATGAAATATATAAAATCGATAATCCAATAATAAGCTCAAAGATAGCGTGCAACAATTTAAGAAAAAAAAATTAGAGATGAAACTATATTCATGAAATGAAATAAAAAGGAGACAAACCACAACACGAATTTAATGTGATTCATCATGTAGGGTTACGTCCACTGACAAGCCAGCAAATAATATCACTATCAAAAAAAAAATTTATAAAAGAGATACAATGTTTCTTCAAAGGAGAAAATCGATAAAATATATCACCAAAATACATTTCTTGTAATCATCCAAACTCACGATTTACTTCGTATTTCACGTCGGATGATCCAAAGACAAAAACAACACAAGTTCACACAATTTCTCCCATAAATAAAAAAGAAATTGTTGTCATAAATAAAAAAAAAATTATTGTTCGTCTCTTTTCCTTTTTCACCTAACTAAAAGATGCTCTGACCCGATAGAAGAGAAAAACCAAAAAGAAAGGATACGTGTGCAAAACTCCTATTTTCTTACTTTTTACAAAAGTCACTTTTTGTAGTGAGTAAGAAGACCCCCAACAAAATAGATAAAGAAATTCAATCCAAATTTTCTATCACCATTTAACCGTGATTGATTTTGAAAGTATTTCCCTTCTCGTAAAGAGGAAGTTGAAGTTTTGACCCACTCGCCAACTCTTTATGGCTCATAACCCGGGTTTTTTTGGAATTTTTAACTAGCGACGAAATTTCATATCTTTTAGAATTATTGTATAGTTGTGATTCAAGGTGATCATAATTAATTTTGACTATTAAATGTGAGATTGGGTTACAACATTTATTTCATTGGCCAAGTTCAAAGTTCAAAAACAAATTTTCAAATTTCTGGAACCCAAGCTACCTGATGATTATAAATAATTGTGACCTCCTTATATCATAGGTAAGTGATCTTATTGTATACAAACATTTATTTTATAGTTAAGGAAGTGAGAGGTTTCTAGAGGTTATTTTGACCGATCCATAATGTGTTTAAAACCTTTTTTGCCACGATGGGTCTTGGATGGAATTTTGGTTGACTTTAGGGTTTGAAAATGGCGGGTTTGGGATGGTTTTCGTTGATGAAGTTTTTATAGGGCCAAGGCTTTATAAAAACAAAATAAAGCTTCACCTTAAATCCTCATTTGGAAAGCACTTTCGGCATTGGAAGGATTCATGACGGCTCTAAAATTAATTTCCAACACCGACAAAAAAAATTGAAACTCAAAACATGGCACAGGTATTGTGGATATGTGAACACTTGTTGTTTGGGTGAAGTGGATAGTCTAAATGATTTGTTGCAATATACACTATCTTTAGAGCTTGAAATCCTTCTTTTTTTTCACAACTATAATACTCAAGCCGAGATGATCGATGCAAAGGTTTTCCAATACTTGAATTATAATTTTTTATGAGTTATGAGGTGAGTATTTCCTTATTTTGATAGGACCGCAGCCCTATCAAACCATTTTCCATTATCAAACCATTGGTAATTAGGGCTTAAGGTCAGTTAGGGCTTAGGGAGCGATCAAGGGGTGATTATGCGTTTTACGCTATTGGGTGGTCTCCCAATCTAATGTGAAAGGTCTTACGGTAGGTTAGATCCAACAAGGAAACTTCTTTGTAGGCTACCTAGAAAAGTTTAGGCTGGCTATGTCAGTTTTAGGTTCATTAAATGTGATTTCCCTAATAATAGGCCTACTATGGTATTTTTAGGATGACATTAAGAGTACATAAAGCATGGGATTATGTAGAGTATAGACAATATACCCTAGAATAGTTTGGGATAGGATTAAGGTATTTTGGTGAGCCTAAAGGGTAAGTTTAGGGTTGATTTTGGAAGGTGACTAGATATGGGTCCCATTTTTTAAGGTTTTGTGCACCTAAGAACTCTCTTAGCAAATGTAGGACATCTACAAATACAGACCAAGAAATCCAGTTGACAATCCAATTTTTATTAAGATCGAAATCTGGATATTCAAGAGATGTGATAGAGAGAATTAAAACAAATATATAGAAAATGAACAACTTTTTAATAAACTCAGAGGTGTGATTTCACTTTTTTTTGAAGCATTAAATATCCCCAACTTAATGAAAATACCAAGGTGCAATCCGATTCAAGCGAGCTGACTCCCGGGATAAAACCAGTTAGATCAAGTCTCTAATTTTTCCAACTTCTGCAACTATAGGTTTGCAGTTGTACCCAATATATGAAACGGCAACCTTTATGTAATGGTGGTAAGAGAGTTGTATAGCTCAATAACATCGTGCATGTTAACCAATGGGATTATAAAGGAGGTACTAGTATTGCATATTCATGCATTTCAATTCAGATCTTCAAATTGCTCTCATGAAACCCATGAAATCACAACCACATGCATTGATTTGCCTTCCAAGTCAGTATGCATGAGCCGTTTCCGATCTAGTCTGAACCTTGCTGAAATCAGCAATACAGGCTTGGCCTTCTCTCAATGGCCAAAAACAGAACGAATGTTGTGGTGAAAAACCAGAACCTACCACGAGATCTCAATGCCCAAAAAAGGAGTAGAATGTCGCAGCGAAAAACCAGAACAACCTACCACATAAATGACAGTGCGGGTTTGCTTAAAAAGGCAAAGAAAGAGGTGAGGTAGCACTCCAAAGTGAAACATGACTATCCAAGGCGACACATAGTTTGTATGGACCACACCACCATATAGTGTGGTTCATAGTGGTCCATACAACCTAAAGGATTGTATACAACAAGACCATTTACTATTTACCATTGATACAGAGGTCACAATTATTTAAAACTATCCGATGTAAAATCTAATAGCTTGGGTGTGTCAAAAAATTTGAAAAAATTTATTTTGAGAAAATTTATTTTGATCAATGAAATAAATGCAGCCTCCCAATTTCACATCCAATTTCACATCCAATGGTCAAGAGTAATGTGACCACCTTGTATCAAAGGTCTCATTATATACTTTCCAAAGTAATCACTACAGGAATGATAACAAAAATACATTGGTGGGTAGTGAGAACATGCAAAGCCTCCAAAACTACAATCAGCCATCAGTAGAATTTAATACATATATTGACAAGGCAAATAAAGTCACAAAACTGGGGGGAAGATAAAGCATCAGCAAATCAAGGTGGGCAAATCTTGAAGCCCACCCAATCTGCACCATTATCACTAGTTCTTATCATTCTGACTAAACGCAACATTACAATAATAAACAACAAATTACATGTCCTACAAAATAATGATAACAAGACTAACAATAAAACTGAAAAAAGGACAAAAGCATTCAAGAGATTTCCGTACATATACCTAATCTCCACTAACATCTATAAGTTGAGGTAGGTGGCTTTTTGAGCTCACTTCTTCCTTGCTAGAGAGAGAAACAGTGGATGCAATCCATGGCCCAGAGTATCCACTTGTTGGGCCCTCCATCGACAAAGTCTGGCTCTGGCTCAAGCTCAGGCTCAGGCTCTGGCTCTGGCTGTCTTGTGAAATAGTTGTAAAAGCCTTGAACCTCCATTCCTCACTTGTAGCGCCAGGCCTTGATAGTGGGGCCCGCACATTGGCATTTCCTTCAAGCATGCTCACAACGGCTGACATAGAAGGGCGGAGCGTGGGAGAAGGGTTTGTACACAGTAAGCCCACATTTAGCATCTTTAGGGCTTCATCTTTGGAATAGTTCGACCCCAACTCTGGGTCCACTAGCTCTAGGAGGCTACCCTTCTCTTGTAGCACATAAGCCTGCAATTTACAAATAGATATCTGTAATCCAAAGTGGTTCTAAGAAACAAATCAATGTTTTTCTAAGAGCTCAACAGCATGGGAGGTCTTTTGTTTCTTCTCCCGGTGGGTTAATTGGGTTTGAACTGGTGCAACATTAAGTGTCTCCCAGTTTGAATTGTAATGAACCCCAAAACATGGGAGTCAGACGAGAACACTGAGAAAATTACGATGAAATAGCTCAATGAATGGACCATATAGAAATGTGCATTGGAAGTACTCAATTTCATCGTAAGAGTAAATTTCACAATCTGTCATCATTCATAAGAATTTCAATCATTTTGGAACAAAGTAATCTTTGGAAATCTATTAATTTGCTTTCTCCTCATAAATAAAGAATGAATGTCATGATCTTCATCACTCCAAAGAAACAATGGTAATCCACTGATAGTGTCAGTTATGATAAGTTGAAATATCAAGGGTACTCCAATAACTTGTATTAGTGTGTTTTTTCATTTTTTTGGGCTACTCCAATAACTTGTATTAGTGTGTTTTTTCATTTTTTTGGGTTGAGATATAGTTAACTAGTTGTACTAATGAAGGACACCCAACTCATGTAGTTGCCCCATTTTGCTCATTTATAAATAATGATTATACTTTTCTTATGAAAACCGAATTTCTCCCCCAAACCATTGAGGTTTATTAAAAACCAAACAAAAATGAAAAGTTTGAATATTGATGTTATAAGAGTCGAGTCATTGTCACTGGAAAAGCCATGGCAATCAACTGACAACCCTGAATAGACATTTCATGGTGCACAACGGTAAATTCTCATCATTTCCAACATAGTCAAGGATTGAGCCAAGTGTGCAGTTCAAGTACCATGAAATAGCTTTCAAACCAATGGATTACAGATTTAAGTTCCAGATTAACTAGAAATGTAAAATAATGAAACTTTATGGAATCAAATCATATGCTGGCATTTTATGAACAAATGTGACAGAAGACATCACTATAATCATTTGGAAATTTGGCCTGATGTAAAAGATTTTAACAACTACTTGCGACTTGCACGTGAAAAAAGTAAACGTATAAAAGCAAAATAGAACATGTCGAAACTTGTGTGCAAATAATAAAACTTGAAACAAGTATACATTAGAGCAGGCAACTAATGTGAAAATAATAAAACTCCAAACAAGTATATATCTTGCATGTGTATGTGCATGTGTGTGCACTCTGTGAAAAGAACACGCTTCATAAGTTGCATACCCAATCTAAAAGATAAACACATTCCTCCTTTGGCCTGTAATTTGTGTTGCTCTTCCCACTCACTATCTCAAGAGCCACGATACCAAAGCTGTATACGTCTGCTTTGTCTGTTAGGTAACCTCGCATTGCATATTCAGGAGCCATATATCCTCTGAAAAAAAAAAATGTAATCAAATTTAAATGAAATAATCCATGCAGTAAGAACCTACACGATATTGGATTCTATGAGGGATGAGCTTCCAACTTATGAGTAAACCGGTGTCACACCCCTGGACCATGGGCCACATTACATAAGGCATTAATGCTAAATGAGAAACACCAGAATAGCCATCCTCTAAGGAATCACTCCAAAGGTAAATTAATACCAGGTCACCTTTTCAACTTTACTATGGTAAAAGAAAATACCTTATTTTGAACTAACATGAGAAAAAAGTTACTAAGAAAAATTATATATCAGTTGCTTACATTGTTCCAGCGATTCTTGTGCTGATGTGGGTATTTTCCTCTTCATCAAGTTTTGCCAAACCAAAATCAGATATCTTGGCATTTAAATCCTTATCAAGGAGAACATTGGTGCCCTTGATGTCTCTGTGAACAATTTTCAGTCTTGATTCTTCATGAAGATAAGCCAGGCCTCTTGCTATTCCTATGCAAATCTTGAGTCGTATAGGCCAATCCAGTTTCAACCGGGACTCGTCTGGACCTGCATATCCCCAAATACACCAAATCAGATGACTAACCAAATCGGTTTTTTCAGCATATGAGCATAAACACACAATAAAAGAAGAGATAATGGAAACAAGCATACCAAAGAGAGCACGAGAGAGACAGTTGTTTTCCATGTATTCGTAGATTAGCAATAACTGATTGCCTTCTATACAACAACCATATAGCTTTACAAGATTTGGGTGTTGCAAGGCAGAAATCATGCCAATTTCATTGACAAACTCACGGTTCCCTTGCTTTGATTTAGATGAAAGTTGTTTAATTGCAATGACTGATCCATCTGGCAAGGCACCCTTCACACACAAATAGAAACAATGCATATAATTAAACCAGAATTTGAATTAGGACCCAAGAGGTAAGTCTCAGTGAATTAGTTTACAGCAAATTTTCCTCTATTTGCTAATTCTGGGAAAATTTAAAAGGAAAAGCAATGAGTGCAAGTAAATTTAGAAACACAAAGGGGAACAAAGAAAATGCTCAGTGAGAAATGGCTTGGAAACAACTTTAATCAATATTAGCAGCAGAGAGATTTCTTCCATTTTTCTTCTTTTCATAGCGATTGCAGATGTACCTTGTAAACCGGCCCAAAACCACCTTCACCAATCTTATTTGCAGGATCAAAGTTCTTTGTAGCAGCTTTGATCTGTTTTAAGCTAAAGTAACCTGTTTGAAGCTCAAGGCTTCTTAATTCTGTCCAAAAAGAAAACAATAATTGGTTAAATTAATCATATAACCTATAATTCCGACTTGTATTCCTCTTTAACACATCAACTAACACTTGGATCTTACGAGCCCAGCAAATAAAAAGGTTCAATATCCTGGCCCTTCACTTGTGGAACTCATTATCAGGCCATAAGGAAACAATGTAACATTCTCAGCATAGTTTTGGAACATATATAGTGCACATAGGTGGCACATTGACATTTCCAAAAATTTTAGGCAATATCTATTCCAAAACTACAAGTATCACAAAGGATAATATTGAATCCGTTGCTGTGTTTGTCCAAAATCACACCCATTATCCCTCAAACATATTCCCACCTTACCTTTGTTCTCTTTATCATTGCCTCCTAGATAGCCTTTCATATAAAGGACGGCCAAAATTAAGAAGACCACAAAGCAAGAACAAACCACAATCCCAACCATAGCTCCAGTGGAAAACTTGTCATCACCATCAATCTCTGGGGTAAAATCTAGAAGTATAACACTAAATCAGACGCTGACACTGAGAATATACTTGCCAGTGAAACCAAGAATGATGGTTAGTAAAACTCAAACAAGAGTGACTTACTAGGTGTCACTCTAATGGCTGACACGAGGGGGCCATAGAAACTTCTCCAAGGGATGCTTGTGGTCCCTTTTCCAGCCCAATAGAAGTGGATCTCCAGAGTGTGATCTGTAACATCAGTGATGAAGGTTCTGTTGATACCGATACCTGTACCATTTGCTTCCATCCTTATGTTGAAATCAGTCAGTACTTTCTTGCCCTACATTTCAGAAAAATTATTCAATGATACGATGGATAACAAAATAATAAACGACCCACTAGTAAGGGACTTATTCCTCCACACTGAGGGCATCCTCGAGAGCGAGGAATTTCGTAACATTCTGATTTTTATTTTGTGTTTTTAATGTTGTGCCAAATCTCACCTTATTGACACGGAAAAATAGAAATACAGTATCACAGAAAAAAAAGAGAAAGAAAAAAAAGAAAACACTAATGAGACATATTACCTGAATATACACATCAAATATGCGTTTCCCAAGGCTGCTAAAAGTGTGGCCATCAGTGAATTGTATTTCAGCAAAATAGAGGACAACAGTGTAGCCACCATTCTGGAGGCAAAGCCCATAATATGAAAGGGAAATGGCAGAAGCACGTGCCGTACTGTACAACTCAATGTTTTTCTGGGCTAAAAGATTGGACGTACTGCTGGGTACGTACATATCACCAAGAGTACCACCATTGTCCATGAAGTTCCCTGTGCTGCTAACAGCCCACTTCTCCCTTCCATCAAACATATTAGTGCCTTTTCCTACCAAGTCTTCTTCATATTCCTCCCCATCAATAGTTATTTTTCTGCCTCCACAATTTATAAACAGCTTGAAATCTGCCACGAATATAATGTCAGTAGCCTAATATCATACCCAACAGAAAGGAAAGACCTAAGTGCCATAAAAGCTAGCCTGAAGGAACTAAGACAACAAACATGTACAAGAGAAAGCATGCGCACCTGTGCACAAACACACATACACATACACCCACACCCACACACTGACATATTTATACAATATAAGTGATGTGAAGCAGCAAAATAAATGCTCACTTTTTGGTTTTACAGGACAAGGGAAACCTTTTTGTAGGCATGGCCGGATTCTGCAGCAAAGAAAGTATCTCAGAAATATATTTCCTTGATTGTCTATAAAAAATAACAGAATTCAATAAAAGCAGTGTAGTGGGGCTAGAATCTCAAGCATTGGTGAGAGGACAGTGAGCTTACAATTTGTCCTGTACGGAAGAGTAGCTTGCAAGCATGTTCCTGGAGAGAGAGAGAGAGAGAGAGAGAGAGAGAGTTCACAGCAGGAATGGTAGAAGACCGCCGAAGAGCTTTTTTTTGTTTCGATTTTGGTGACCAAAGTCAAACCAAAAAGAAAGATAAGGAAGAACTAACTAAAATTAGCAAGTATTCTTACGGGCCTGAGGGTGGACACATGGTTGACGAAGTAGCACCTGTGAAGTTGTTGTTAGATATATCCCTGCAGGAAATCACTTCATCTGTAAGTGTTTACTTTTAGCTTCCCATAGCAACAACTAAAGTCTAAAATTGAGAAATTCCTATTCATGAAAGTGACATCTGCAACCAGTCAGAACACCTTCTCTAGTAGGCTTAGCAGAGGCAAATATCAGCTGTAGTTGCCAGAAAAGATGGAGATATAACCATAATCCTTTCTAGTCATAATAAAGCACAACTAGAATTACAGAAAAGACAATAATGTCACATATTTTTTCAAGTATAATCATTGATTGCAAACCTCCTATCCTATGATTATAACTGAGAGTGCTGCATTAGTACATGATTTCTACCTACATTTACAACCCAAATACTCAATCAATCAGAACGATGAAATGATAAAATACCCACTTTCCTCATAATATATTACCTTTTCTTCCATCAAAGACTTCAGTTCTGTTGTAACCTTTCCATAGTGGAAGCACAATTGGCAGTTATTATGTTCTACTCTTATATGCAGAAATGAGGAGTGTTGCTGATGTGCAAGTGGAGTAGAGAGAGAGGATGTTGATGTGCTGGAAGCTATCTTTCTATGCAATGTGAGACCTTCTACAAGTAGTTTTGTGTCCAAGACAACATTTTACATTATATGCAAGGCCTCTAAAATTATCGAATGGACAAATAAAATCTTATTACAATTATGTTTGTGCACTGCATCATGCTCTCCAGATAAAAAATAATGCTAAATATTTATCTTAAATTAAATATTTACGTCTATAGCTATTGAATATTAACTTCACTCAACATTTTCTTTAATTTATTGTATTTAATATTTTTATATTTCATTGACATAAAAAATTATTGGAGTCTTGTGTTTTTTTTGATAAGTACTTATAGTTTTAAAATTTTGATTTTTTTGGTCAGTCAAATGCCATCCCTCCCAATTCTCTCTCCAGTTCATGTTACTGATAAGGGAAATTTATCAAATTAGACATTAGTGTTTGAACAATTTAACATCATCATTCTTTCGATCAAATTTGAAATAGACCATCAAATGACACATCAAAATGGTTTTGAAATTTATCAAATTACACTTTGGGTAAAAAGTTAAACAATCCAACTTTAAATGCATTTTGATAAATTTCCCTATTAAGAAAATAGATTTCAACAGCAAATGAGGGCAGTTTTTTAAGGGAGATAGATATTACCTTTTTTGCGAAGCAATTAGAAGTAGTGCATCTAATTGTAATGGCAACATGTATAGAGAGAGAAGTGCATCTAATTGTAATACCAAGATGTATAGAGAGAGAAGCGCATCTAATTGTAATAGCAAGATGTATATATATATATATATATATATATATATA